TAAAAATAATAAAAACATTTATATGATCAATTCTGGCTATTCATTCAAATTTGAGCTTCTGTGCTTGTTCCACTTCTTCTTCGTTCAGTGGTTGTTGATGTCTTCCTCCTCCTTGTTGACATCAGCAACCTTACAGTTTTTACCACCAGTAGACTGACCAGTTTTATCTCTGAATTTTTTGACTGGCTTTGGGAGACATTCATCACTCATGTTGTAAACAATGTGCTAGTTCCTCTAAATGTAATCTACTAAGCCTAGTGGCTAATTCATACTTAAACGTCATCTCTAAGGCTTCTACGACTTCCCACGTGTGGGGTGAAGAGAAATAACAATTTCTAACCACCCCAGGCTGTCTTTCAGGTCTCAAATTTCTTTGGGGTTTAAAAAATTTAAAACCTAAATACCTGCCAAGATTTGGTTGGTCAGTTTTGGGCATGTTGATACTGCTAGATGTCAGTGAACATTTTCATTGTGTTTTCCTAAAATTTGAATACATTGTGGCTATAACAGAAGTAATAATGTGTCCTAAGCATTCCTACTTGATTAGATAATGTTTTTTCTCTGGAAAATTTACCCTAGTTTAATTTAAGATTGACTTCTGAATTTTTTACATCTTGCACCCCACATAAAAACACACAAAACATTAAATTTTGTCACTTGCTGCCTTTGCTTGCCATCTGTTGGTACATGTGGACCCATGTTTTTTGTTTGTTTATATTTTCTTTTGTGCCTTCATGCCTTTTTGCTATTATTATCCCTCTCCTTTTTTTTGACTGCTTATGCTGTTTAATTTTTTTGTATAGTTGTAACCTTTCTAGGATTTTTGTGCTCAAATAAGCGAACATAATGGTTAATTTTGCTTATGTCTTTCACTATTAATTGCCATATCGAATAGGTTTCTGTGTTGATTATACCAAGTTACTAAAAACAAGACAACAACCTTTCCTGTGAAATGAACAAGGGTTTTTCTATTTGTAATGAACATGTATGAATGTTTACTAGTTTTGAGACAGAAGTTTTGTTTTATACACTCACCTTAAATGGATATTGTTATCCTCTGGTAAGTGTTGTGCTACACTGTTTAACTCTTTCAACACTGGCTCAGTCAATTTGACCAACCATATGACCACTTTGTACTTGTTCAAAGTCTTTATAGATCCAATACTTCTAACTTTCAATACAGTGTGTATATCTTCACAAAATTTGGCAGTCTTTCAGTTAATATTACAAGTCTTTCACATACAAAAAATCATATTTTTAGCGAAGTATTTTTAATAAACTAAAATAAAGATTTGTCTATGAATATATGGAATAGTCCATGTTAAGATTAAAAATACTTTTCTTCATCTCAAAAATCTCAAATTTCGTTTGTGTAATCCCTAAAACTTCCTAAATACATTTCAAACATTTTTTTTCTTCAGTAAAACTTTATATTTTATGTTATTTTCTCTACCCTATCTCTATATGGGATTGGTCAATTTGACTAACCTTGTAACCACCAAAATAAATCTAAATTACCTTTTCTTTTCTTTCTAGAATGACTTCAAATTGTAACATGAAACTACATTTGTTTATCCTAAGTAGCTTTAAGCTGTAACAATATTCACCTATTTATAATTAAATTTTATTGTCATTTGAACCGTGTCTGACTACTATCCATGCCATAATAAGTTGTAACTCACTTGGGCAATGTGTAGATCACATTACACTATCTAATTACATTACCCATGACCTACTATGAGCTGCTCACATGTGTGCCTCGTGAAACATTTTTATTATATTATTTATTTTTATCTAATCTTAACTAACCTAAAAAGATGCAAATTTTTACATTTTAGTTACTTTTATAATGATAAAGAATAAGCATGAAAAACAAGAAATAAACAACTTAGCCAATCTTTGTTTTCTTGCTGTCAATTGTTGATGACACTTAACCCTACTTTTTTTATACTAATGATAGTAATGCACTAAATTTTTATTTAATTAAATAATGCACGAAAGAACATAAACCAATAACATGAAAAAGTAGACAATTTCCCCTAACTCAAAATATTTCTGGTTTTCTAACTATGCGACAAGCCATTACAAATTCATTCAAGCTAGTCATTATCATTCTCATTTGAACCAGACCTGTACTACAAGTGAAATTGATGCTCAACTGTTCAGAACACGTTATAACATGTGTCATTTGATAGATGGCTTTCTATTGGTTATAGGTAATATATAATTAAATGTGAGAGAGAACTATTAACAAATCGTGAGGAGAGGATGTGGCAGGAGGGGTCTGATTTTCTATTTGATAGCTCTGTAACCAAACAGAATTAAAGGTTATAAAAATTGTTTGTCTGAGCAATGATGATTTTATAGTGAGTAATTTACATTTAATTTCGTAGTTATTGGAGGTGTGGTGGATAAAAATAGAGAAGATACCTTGAGAAAATGTGTTGTGTGTCACACTAGGGGAAATTTAGAGTTTTTTAAGTATTGCCTTATAAAATTAATAACTTAAAACTTGTATACTATTTGGATTGTTAGCTAAGATTTTATGCTATAGTAATTGGTATAACATAAACAAAAAGTAGATTAATAAAATTTTGAATGTAAGACACTAAAACCTTGTGTCATGCACAGTAAAGGATACCTGTGGCGAAAGGTTAATAAAGTGATTAAAATTCGATATAATCACTAGCATTTCTCCATTTTCTCTTTGATACCTGTTCATTTGTCTAAATGTTATTTTGGAGACTTCTTGGTATCCTTTAACCCTCATCAGTACACCTTTGAAAAGTTACGTTGTTGAACACCTGGGGTCCAAATGGACCCTAGCACAAAATTACCATTATAATAAGCTCTGGATTGAATATCCAAACACCAACTGAATTACAAGTTTTATTAGGGTTAGCATGCAATGTGAACAACATAATACATGTATTCTAGGGGAATTATGTTGACAAATCAAGAAATTACAATTACATTGTTTCTCAGTATACAAATAAGTAGCATTAAACCATTCCTTATACAAACAGTGTATCACAAAATGCCAAAGTTTTATTATACTCCTAATATTCAAATCATTATCCACCAATATATGATGAGGTTACCATAATACTTCAAAATTCAACTCAAAGAAAACTGAAAATGTGTTGTGGGTCACCTTGGGTCCAACTAGACTCTAACACAAGTGTATCCTTATAGTAAACTATGGGTTGAAAATTCATTAAGCAGGTTATTTACAACAGTTATCAAACAAGGTTTCTATAAAATGGGGTATTATAAGCAGTCATCACAGAGAACACTTTTTGAGGAATGAGATGTGCATACGTGCTTACCACAATGATGTTATAAGCAAACAGATGAGATGATACTGTACTACTTTGATGAATTATCCTCTATAACAGCCTATATAGTGAAATAAATATTTCCAAATTTGTTTCATATGCTATAGGCCAAACTGCATGTATAGTGATGGTCAATGATAGTATGGGGTCCACTTGGACCCCAGATAAATATTGGATTATAGCTATGAACTTTGTCTGCCTGTTTTGAAAGCAACGGTGTCACATTGATCAAGGATTTCTGCTTGACAGTTACATGAATTGATATAAATTTGTAATGAATATGTAAAAAGATATACAACTGAGAAAGTTTTTGGGGTCCTGATGAGGGTTAACAATGGGATAGATGTGTCATGGGACTGAAGTGGAACCTTTTTGGACTAATCCTACATGTCTCTCTTTGCACCACCATCTTGGAAGAGGCCCATAGGGTCTAATGTTTTTAGCAAAATCCCCTACATCATATCTGGCTCAGAATTCTGTATAGTTGTTTTGAGTTGCACGTTTTGTAACAGTATTTTTGTCGTGTCATTCTTTTCTGGAGAATGCTACTAGTCCTGTACAATTTAAAGCGTTCTTTTCCACTTTAATGTAGAAATGATGGTGTACTGCTCATCTTGGTGCACAATTATTTTTAATTTAATTTTTAAAAATAAGAATGATGTTATAAGCAGAAGGTATCTTTTTAAGATTTTTCAATCATGTGGACATTTCCTGTTAGTAATAGTTTTTCTCAGTATAGTTTTATAAGAGCTGTAATGTTAGCCAGAAGGTTTTATGATAGTAGTGACAAAAGAAGACTTCAGTCCTTTTAATGCAGGCAGTTGCATGCTCATGTCTAGGCACATGTACAAATGTAATTGTGTATGCTATTTGTCACACTGAAGTTAAAGACCATATTCAGTGACACATTATAATTTTACACACTTCTGAGGAAAGTGGAAATGTGTCACAGAAATAGATCTTTAATTTGTTATGATTATTGAAGAAGCAAACCAAGAAGATGGCAGCCAAAAGAAACAAAATTGAATTGGAAATATTTCAAAGTTACTGGAGATCGGCAGTTATTAGATATAGTTGTGATAAAATCAGTAACTCTGCTAATATAATGCAAATATTAGTAATGTTAATGAGTAAATTGTTTCTTGCTACTCTCATGTCATAACTCATCACTTTAGGTATCTATGCAATTTATTTGTGCAAATAAATTTGCACATCGAGTCACTACAAAAATGTAGTTTTTCTCATGAAAAGGCCTGAGACTTAGATCAATGGTTTTGGCTAGAATCTTTTTCTAGATGTTAATCAGATTTTGAATTACTTTTGATTCTAAGAACCGATTTTTTGATGTATTGATTTTGCTAAATTAAATACAGCTAAACATTTTGTACACTTGTCATACAAAAGAGAAGGCAGCTGCAGTAAAATATTGGCAGTACTTTATGCCTGTTATTATCTGTTCTTTGACCTTTTCTTGTGAACAAGTTCATAAGATTAACATTTCACTTGTGTAAAATATTATGCTATTTTTTTAGAGTTAAATTGGTATATTTTTTGTGCCACAAAGATCAATTTTATGCATGAGAAACTGTATTTGTAGCTATGTATTTAGTTTACAGGTGAGTTAAATGAATTCTCTTACAGTTTTTATTTTTGTGTTTGCAGGTATGAAGAGTGTAGATGTCGTATTACAATGCCTACTATCATATAGCAACAACTAATCAAGACTGCAGCTTGAAAAACAGCCTCAACCAGGAGTTGAAGGTCATCTTCATTATGAAGAAACTCTGGAGAAACTGTGGAAGTCACCCCTGGTGGTGTTTCTGGATTGCAATCTTGTCATTCTGTATTAGTGGAGTCCTGACGTCTAAGCTTGACAATGGTTACAAAGTGTTTGAAGACGTCCATTCTGAGCAATTCAGTCATATGGCAGTGTATTCCATTACTGGTAAAGTGTATGTTGGTGGTGTAAACAAAATTTACCAGCTGACACCCATGTTGACATTAGAGGCAACAGTTGTAATGGGTCCACAAGAGGACAGTGATGAGTGTCCTGTTACTCGCATTTGTCCTCAGGTGCCTAAGAAGCTGATGAACTATTATAACAAAGCTTTGCTGATTGATTATGCTCAGAGTAGATTGATAGCTTGTGGTAGTTTGTTTCAAGGAGTCTGCACTGTGCATAAATTGACCAATGTGTCTGACTATAAGACTCCAGCCAATGAATCTGTGGTGGCTAACAATGCCACAGCATCAACAGTAGCATTTATAGGAAAATTCAAACGTCCTGAGGATGCTTCTTGGCGCCAAGTACTATATGTTGGAGTGACCTACACAGGGAATGGACCCTATCGTTCTGATGTGCCTGCTGTGAGTAGTCGTAGTTTGAACCGTAACACAATGTTCAGCATAGCAGAATCACAGGTAACCACAGGCACTAAGGTCAATGTAAACAGCTTAGCTCGATCCATCTATCCCATTACTTATGTTTATGGTTTTGCCAACAAGGGTTTCTCATATTTTGTCACAGTGCAGAAAGAGAGTACTGACCGTCCCGAACCCTATATCTCCAAACTCGTCCGTATTTGCCAGGGTGATCCTGACTACTATTCCTACACTGAAGTCCCTTTAAAGTGTCGGTCTCATGATGGCACTGACTACAACCTAGCTCAGGCAGCTTTTGTGGGTAGACCTGGATCTGATTTGGCAGTGTCCCTTGGCATCACAGCCCAGGACAAAGTGTTGTTCGTTGTGTTTGCTAGATCCAATGATGAAGCTGATGTTTATGATAAACCTTCACAGAACTCCGCCCTATGTGTATATGCTCTCTCTGCTGTCCATCGAAAATTCATCCAAAATATCCAGCATTGTTTCAATGGTAATGGAGATAGAGGATTGGATTTCATCAACCCTAGCCAACGTTGTATACCAACAGTAAGTATTGGATGATTAAAAAGTTAGAAGTACATGTAATTAATACATTGCCTCTTAGTTGTCTTTGAAGTTATATACATGTGCAAAAATCCACCCTATTATGTGTAGCATTTTAAGAAATAACAATGAGTAATAAAATGAATATGCTATTAAAAACTATAATGAAATATAATGCAAATCTCAAGATATCTTTCAGTTTAGTACATGTAATGTTAAGTGCTTCTATACTAATTTTATCTTGTGTTTTGTGTGAGCACCCAAGTAGTCAACATGGTTACAAGTGTGCTTGTTTAGTCATAAATATATGTATAATTTTTGACATCAATTACCTTGAGTCTGAATAATTGGCAGGTCTTATTGGGGTAGGTGATGCCAAAACTTTTTATGAATGAAAAAAAAAATATGAATAATGACATGTATATGTAGAAAATGTGTAAAAAAGCATATTAGTTGTTCAGTATGTAAAGAAAAATCTTAAAACTGATGGTTGATAACTTTGAATGACATAAGTTTCAAATTATACCTGTGTTTATGTTTGTGTGCAAATATAGGAACACTATTCTGCTTAGATTTACTGGGAAGCCTTGGGCACCTGAGATATATCTAAAATGTTGACAAGAGGAAAATCAAGAGAAAATAAGCTGAAAGTGATAGTTATTGATTAATTTCTGTTTTTTGTTAATCTAGTAACACCATTATCAGTATTGTTAAAAAGTTTTCATAGTGTTTAATGTTTAAATTGCTTTTGGTAGACATGCTCTCTTAGCTAGTTCTCTGCTGAGTAATGGGTGTAAACAGGAATTAATATTAAGTGCTTTGTGGGTAACTAATTTATGACACACACATTCTAAGATTGGATTGAGTTAGAATTCCAGTTTATAATAATTTTAAAATGTGGTATCTAAATACAGTGAGGTGTTCTTTTCTTGAAAATCTTTGTTTTCTGAAAGGTTTAAAATATTGTCCAATTTAATAATGGTTGGAGTCGGCGTGAATGGGTAATGAAGAAAAACTTTAATATAAGTTTAACATAACAGCATGATGATGACAAAACCTTGTCGAAACGTTGTACATTTGCTGTTATGTTAAACTTGTATTAAAGTTTTTCTTCATTACCCATTCAAGCCGTCTCCAACCATTATTAGTCTCAAAGTGGGTTCCTCATCATCGAAATTGTCCAATTTACTGTCACATTTCATACATGGTTATTTATGAAGTAGAAAATGAAAAAAAACACAATTGCATTTAGAAATAATTAAGTAGTCAGCCAATTTATTTGTGCCCATTGTTTAAATTGGATAAACATAATATTCAATGAGGATTTGAGTCAGAATATTTTGCAATTACCTACTTACTAGCTAAATAGCAAACTTATCTGACTTTATGATTATTTTATTTGATGAATGTAAAAACAAAACAAAAAAACTTGTGTTTACAAACATTACAACTCAATAAAACCCAATTACATCTATCAAAAAGTAAAAACACTAATTTTAAGCAAAGAAACAAATATCAACAAGATATCCCTTTATTAAGCCTTAAATCTCCAGTCATGTGACTTCTTTGTTTCATACTGTATATGTATTACAATGTCTAGGTAAGCTACTTGTAGCTGGTGATTGACAAAAGCTTCTCTAAATACTAAATTCTTTTACTGTATTAAACGTGTACTAAAGTTGTTTTTATTTTATTTTCTTTGTTACCTATTCTAACTGTCTCAAAACTCTTAACTTACCTTATCTCATGTTCTGTGTCTTGTCATTGAAGAAAATTTCATGTTACTCTCAAACACAAATACTTTCACAAATGAAAAGGAACTGAAAGGAACTTTACAGAAATATAAAAAAAACAATCTTAAACCACAACAAGGTTTGTTAAGGCCTGCATAAACTTAGAGAAACTCTTAAATCAAGTAATGGATAATTTATTCTTAAGAGGTCATAGTTTTTTTTTTAAATAGTTTGTCTCTGGGATGGAAAAAAAAATGATGAAGCTGAAAAAAAAATCTAATTGTTCAGTTTAAAGGCAAAACTCTGTAGCTGTGCAGAAATAAAAATATTAATTTTTTTTTCTTGAATTGTATTAAATAGAGGACAGAAAATGATAAATTATCAATTCTAAAATACTTACAATTTGAAATTGTTGAAATATAGTTAGAATTAATGTATAAAATTGACTTTAAAGACTTTGTGGCGAGAATATTATTGTATGGAAAAAAAAATATGAAAAGCCAGAAGAAACTCTGTCTAGGTTTCAGGCACAATAATTTAGAATTAAGTTACTTTTAATAATATTAAGCTTTGTACATGAAAATGTTATCATACAGGCAATGCAACTGCATTGTTTAACATTTAGAAGCAACAAAATATTTATTTATTTAACTGTTGCCTATTGCAACAGTATTGTGTACACTTTTCCAGGCTTGCTATTCCAAACAGTTCACTATTGTTTTACGTGTTTATTAAGTATGTTTATGACAGTGTTGGGGACTTAAGTGTTATCTATAACTACAGTTATTCAAATGCTTTGTAACCAATCAAGGGAAATTAATTATTATAACTCATTTTATTTATTAGGCAAAAAAAGTACATAGCCAAAGTGAAAACCTAGTATTTTTGATGCTCTTCAAGTATCCTAAATTTAATGTCAAACATAAAAATTCAAATAACATCAACATATTTTGTAAAATAAAACTTGTAATTGTCAAACCTTTATCCTACAAAGTTTAAAAACCATTAGGGAATGGATAAGAATATTCCTATCGAGCACTGATATCTAATGTTTCTTTTTTTGATACTATAGGTTAGTGTAAGGATGTTTGGTTGCCCTATTGAGCACTGATATATAATGTTTCTTTATATATATATTATACAGTAATGTAAGGATGTTTGGCTGTTGTTTTTATTAAATTCTGAAAAAGTGGAAGAAGGGGGTTTGGGCCTCTGAGATCTGTGCCACTTGTACAGCATGAAATAATAGGTATCAATTTATGAAATGGGGGAAGGGGGTTTAGCCCCTTGGATCCCCTAGATCCATTCTTGCTCTTACAACATCAAAGGGTAGTTATCAATTCATGGACAAAATGGGGGAAGCAGGATCTCTACCCTGGATCTCTGCCTTCTTATTCAACATTAGTACAGTTATCAACTTGAGAAAATGGGTGGAGGGAAGTTTGACTTTATGATACAAGTTTAATAATTAATGCAAACATTATTATTATTATTAGATATAGTAAGTAGTATACTAATGAAGGGAACAATAAAAAAAAAAGATGGCACACCTCAGTTAGTGATCCCATAAACACTAATTCCCATCCTGATCAATAGTCATTGATATGCATATTTCTTTGAAAGCTGACTCTTTCCCTCTCTAACAATGCACTTTAGCCAAAAGACATAGTATTGAGTAGGAAAACATAAGTAGACATTAATATCCACTGAACTTCAACTTACCTAGCATAACTATAAGCAAGGCATTTTTAGTTTGTGGAATAGAAAATCTTTGGAGAAGCTAGGTTTAGCTAGCTGAATTGATAAATATTAAGGATTTCTTTATATGGAAGACTATAAATATTGTGAAACATGTGATGTGTATCAGTTCATATAAAACTGCCCAAACATTGTTTCGAACCAAGTGAAAATCAAGTAAAAATTGTATTTGATAACAACAGTTTTTAAAATGGATAAAATTGCCACCAATTCTATTTTTGATTATACCTAAAATTGTGCATGTATATTATAAAAGCCATAGACATCTCAATTTTGTTGTTAGAGGCACATATTTTGAAATTATAATTAGATTGAAATATAACTAAACATATTTAAAAGGACTTTTCTATCCTATTCCGTACTCTGAGTAATCTTAATAAAGATACATTAGTAAATGTTCTTGGCTTCATATTAATTACAATTAAGTAGAACTTGCCAGATTGTTTGTTTTGGAAATGCTGTATTAGTTATTTAAAAACACGCACTTATTGTTGTGAATGTATCTTGATAGAAGTTTCTTATCACCGTAATGTACAATTTCAAATATTAAGATTCACAAAATATGCATCAAAAAATTAAGAGACAAGCTTGTTTGATTTTAACATGCTTTAGATATATTTGCTGAGATACACTCTAAAAGAGAAAAAAAAGTCATGATTCTAAATTTTTTTATTAAATAAAATATAAGCATAACATTTGTTGATAAAGAAATAAAAAAAAAAAAAAAAAAA